GCCATGGTATTTGGATCCAGCAGAAGTCTCCATTGAAACAGTGTTATAGTTAGTGGTTCGGTTCCTCTTTTCAGAAAGTTGGGAAAATCCAATTAAAGAGATTGAAAAAAATGGTGGAGGAGATTTGGGGAAGAGTTTTGAAGACAGCTCCCACAATGGTCCATGGCCACTGGGCCCATTATCTTACAATTTCTTCTTTTCTTGTACTGCAGAGGCCCTTCAGAAAGATGGAAGGATGGTAGTTGCACTGTAGCCCCAGAAATCCAGGTAATGGTCAGGCTTGATGTGAACATGGAGAGTTGGTGTAACACACGTGGATTATGCTGAGGAGGAACTGGTGCTGTATGGACAGTCCTGGGATCCTACTGCACATTTTACCAACAGTTTTTAGCTCTCTGCTGAATGAGAAAGCAAACGAAACAGGAACATGCTTACGTGTGTGTTAAGAGTCAAGAGATAAGAACCCACATTTGCCACAGGGAAAGCAATAAAAATCAGTAATAGAGGAAACACATTTCATTTTTCAAATCTGTTAGCAGTGAGAGGAGATGAAAAATAGCTATAAAAATAACTTTGCATGCCCTTTTAAATGTAAATCATCAAAAGGCAGCATACCTAATAGAGGACCACATGTTGAGATAGAATATAGAAGAGGAAATTGTAGCCTCATACTAATGACATAAATCAATTTTACTTTAAAAGTCCTTTGAATGTTCAAGTCATGGATACTGGTCTTGACTATATCTCACTAGTATTGATGTCTGGTGGGTCAAGAATGAATTATAAGCAAAAGGCTAACTCACACGTGACACCTTGGTTTCTAAAACCGCTTAGGGGGCCGGCCCCGTGGGTTAGCGGTTAAGTGCGCACGCTCCGCTACTGGCGGCCCGGGTTCAGATCCCGGGCGCGCACCGATGCACCACTTGTCCGGCCATGCTGAGGCCGCGTCCCACATACAGCAACTAGAAGGATGTGCAACTATGACATACAACTATCTACTGGGGCTTTGGGGAGAGAAAGGAGGAGGATTGGCAATAGATGTTAGCTCTGGGCCGGTCCTCCTCAGCAAAAAGAGGAGGATTGGCATTGATGTTAGCTCAGGGCTGATCTTCCTCACCAAATAATAAATAAGCAAATAAATTAATTAATTAATTAAATTAAATAAAAAGGCTTAGGTTCTACCTTCTGAAACAATTCTCAAGGGGAAATGAAGATTCCTGCCCGTGAAATAAAATAGGTTATGTAATACAGATGACTGTTACAGAAAATAAGGTGGAAGTGAGGAAGAAAAAATGCATTTCAACTTGACTAGAATTATTAGTGTATGTAAGTATGGAGCTACAGTTTACGTTATTCTCTTCAGCATACACATAGCCACATAGGAGGAGGAATAAGAGCAAGGGTATGTGCAGAGCTAAAATGAAAAATGTCACCTTTAATGAAAATTTTTATATCTGTTTTACATCTCAATATTTAAGAGGCAGTACTATAGTCAAAGAGGAATTCAAATGTTGTTAATATGCATAAATATACATTGAAGACACTCAGCCAAATTCCACTGAGAGACATATACTTCTAAAATCAGTATTGCCAATACAGTCTCTCATAATTTATTCTCAAACATCTATGGGTATGCTTCAGCATATTCTTCTAAACTGGAAAATAAAGCAGTTTTATAAAATTGAAAATGTCTTGCAAAGATATATTTCTCACTTTTAATGACCTCTTTTAAAGCAATTATATGATATGGTATTTTTCTTACTGGCGTTCAAAAATGAGCAAGACTTATATTTAAAAATGATCTTATTATGCCTTGTCACGAAGAAAAGGATTTAACATGCACATGGAATGGTTCTTATAAGTACTTCCCATTATCTTTTAAACCAAAACTTTACCTGTAATATTTTATAGTCTCAAAGACAGAACATACAGAAAAAACTAAGTAGGTCACTACCTTGTATTCTAAGGATTTTTCTCCCAGTATTTCATTAGGAACATGTGTATGTCTGTGTCTGAATGTTGTGCATATATTAGAAGCACTTCTCAAAAACGTACATAATTGCAGAAGATGATTTACAATTTTCACACATTTTAGCTACAAAAATGTTAATATCTTGTCTGATACACTCTGAAATATCACCTTTATATTTCTATTCAATGCTGTATTAAGTTATATTTAAATGTGTTTTAAAATCGAGGCTCCTGAATACTCTTAAAAAGAAGTATGACCCATTTAAGAATGAAGGCTTCTTGGATCAAAGATTAAACTACAAAATGGTAGGAGACCAGACAATGATAGTAAAGAGGTGCTGGCAATAGTCCATAAAGAACACATAGTCAAATACTGTTTGGTGGGTGAAGTCTTCTTTTGAAAATGGAAAGTTAATCCCTTCTGGGTGGCAAAAGGTTATCACAGATTCGGGAATGATCTAGGGAACAATATAGACTCTATCTCTGATAATGTGCATGAAGTAGACATTTGAATAAAGAGAGACAAGAACAGAGTTAATAGTGAAATGGGCAAGGTGAGTATCAATGCCTGTGAATAAAAATAACATTTAATCAAAAGCATACAGAAGGACATAAATCACCAGGGTTTTAATACTTGGTGAAGATAGTTTCCCTGGAGATAACTATGGATCTCCTCAAGAATAATTGAGAAAAAATTACAAGGTATTGTTCTACTCAAGTTCAAAAGAACTAGATGTGATATATTGTGGTTTTGATTTGCATTTCCTTAATGACTAATGATGTTGAGCATCTTTTCATATACTTGTTAGCCATTTGTAATCTTATTTAGAGAACTGTGTATTTAAATTATTCACCCATTTTTCATTAGGTTATTTGCCTTTTTACTGTCGAGTTATAAGAGTTCTTTATATTTTCAGGAAAATAACAAATGTTGGCAAGGATATGGAGAAATTGGAACCTTCATACATTGCTGATGGGAATGGAAAATGGTCTGCCTCTGTGGAAAATATTCTGGAAATTCCTCAAAAAGTTAAACATAGAATTGTATGACCCAGAAATTCCACTCTTAGGTACATATCCAAGAGGAGTGAAAACATATATTCACAGAAAAACTTGTACACTAAACATATGTTCACACAAGAACTTGTACATAGCAGCCATTACTTACCATACCCACAAAAAGTGGAAACAATCTAAATGATCCTTAATGGATTGATAAACAAAATGTGATATGTTCATATAATGGAATATTATTCAACAATAAAAAAGAATAAAGTACTGATTCTTGTTACAATATGGATGAACCTTGAAAATATTATGCTAAGTGAAAGAAGCCAGACACAAAAGGTCACATATTATATGATTTAATTCATATGAAATATACAGAATAAGAAAATACATAGAGAAAGTAGATTAGTGGTTGTGAGCAAATGGGGGCGGATTGGGAGTGACTGCTAACAGGTACAAGGTATTTTGGGGAGTGGTGATGGAAATGTTCTGGAATCTAGTGAAGGTTGCACAATGTTGTAAATATACTAAAAACTTCTGAATTATACACTTTAAAATGGTGTATTTTACGTTATATGAATTATATCTCAATAAAAAATTAAATAGAGGTATAATAAACAGAGATTAGGACCTAATTGGCATCTAATTGTATATTTGTTCATTTATAGATTCAATAATACAATTTGAGACTGAAAGAGAACTTAGCACATCTCTCAGAGGTTGCTGTACCAGGAGCACAATTCCCAACCTGTGTAGATTCAAGAGAGATATTCCTGTTAGAGCCACTACTGAATGTAGAAATGAGTTCTAAGGGGAGGGCTTCATTTCTGACAATATGAAATGAGAATTTAGGTATGATTCTGTCAAAGACAAAAAAAAATTCTCCTGCAAACCAGCTATTGTTTACAGCGCAGAGAAGGGATTCAGTAGAGGAAATTATTCTCATTACTGATTAAAAAAATAAATACCATAATTTTTTGTAGAATTTTTTCCTGATTCACAAGGTCCAATTTAGTGTTTTGAATTTGCTTTATAAAGCTGTTGTCAAGATTTCCTGGCAACTCAGTTCTTTTTTGTTAGGATCACATTTTCCTAACTGAGCTCTCAGAGTTGTTTCTCTGAAAAATGTAAACCAGTAATCTGAAAAGAAGAAAAAAATGTGCATATTTGGAGAATGGGGGCAATTTTGTGGTCAGATAAATTTGGGGACACTGCCTAGTCTAACACTTTCTTGGAGAATCAACAAAATTCTTATCATATTAAGACTTTGAGAAGTCCTGTTGTAAAAACCAAACACAACACAAGACAAAAACAAGCCTGTCCAAATTTGTTTAACCCAGCATCCCAAGTTTATTTGCCATATTGCCATTTTTAAGGAATACAATTAAAATCTGAACAACCTTCCTTTGAGTAGTTTGAATACAACTTGGTTAGAACCTAGCATTGCTCTACTTCTATGTCAGAGATAAATCTCTAATTTTGGTTGGACATTTTGAAAATGCATGCTGTTTTCTGAAACTTCAGGACTATGTGTGGTGCAACTTAGATTCACAACTGGACGTTTATTATCTCTTTAGGAAAAATACATGGTCCACTGATCCCTGGGCAGTCATGTGGTCTTTGTACACAGAGGACAGTATTATTTTCAGAGTATGTAAGCCGTACCAGTGAGGTGTGTGATTTCTGGAAAATTTTTAAAGAATGTGGTTTCATTTAAGAATATATTCAGTAAAGGTCAACTTCCCTCTTAGTTCAACTGACAATGTTAGAACTGATTTAAAAACAAAACAAAACAAAAAACTCTAATACTTTAGAAAAAGTGGCCTATGTGAGGATTTAATCCTAAAATAGATTGTTGAATTATGGGGGTTTCTTTCCTCACAATGTGTACATATTGGCAGTTTCTTTAACTGCTAGTTATGCTCTATTAATCCACACTGAAATTCTAATTTTATGAGAAATGGTATTCATTAATCTCCTAGAAAATATTTGGACCCTTACTTGAACAGAGAATGTTTTAGGGCAGAGTTTCCTGACCCAAGTTAGTAAAGTTTGTTCATCATTGTCAACATTTATTGAGAACGTAGTAAGTGTGCAAAACAGAGGATCAAGTTCCAGCTTGCAATTAGCTCAAAAATATAATCTATTTTATAAGTTTTGTAAAATATTGCTAAAATTTCTACTCTAATCACCAATTTTTTTTTCACAAATAAGCCTGACTACTCAACTCTAGCTATTAACATTATACTTTAGGCAAACAAAATTTAATAAGATGTGATACCTGCCCTCAAGGATCTGGTAGTATAGTGGGAAGAAACAGATGAGTGAAGCCTTGATGATGGAACAGTATGTTTGGTACTATAACAGCATTATGCACATCTAAAGCAGAAGGAAGTTTGGAAGGCTTCCTGGAATAAGTGACACCTGAACAGAGTTTTAAAGAATGGATAGGACTTCAAAGAATGAACAGGCAAAGGAACTTTCAGGCAAAGGGAATAATATGAATGAGAGCAAATGAAGTGGAAAAATACAAAATGAACTTGGTAAATTACTAGTAGTTGGGAAGAGTAAATATCTGGGATGGGCAGGGCCAAGTGAGAAAGACTGCTACCAGTAGTGGAAAGGATATGTTCTATTTGGAGATAAGCATGTGGAAAGAGATACTAGAGGGAAGAAGAACAATTAAAAGGCTATTAATGTAATCTAAGAAAGAAATGCAAAAGTCCAAATGAATTAAGTAGCAGAGAGAATGGAGAAGATAAAATGTGTAACGTTAAGGAAACAGAATCCGCCGTATTGGGTGATTGTTTAGATAGGACTAGGATGGTGTTATGGAATGAAGATGGAAGCATCTAGACTACTTAGCAGGGCTCTAGTTTGGACCTGTGCTGTTCTTCACTGAAATAGAGAACAGAGAGAGAAGCAGGTTGGAAGGATAAAGTAACTTCAGTATTGATCACATAGTGTAAGGGGCCTATAAGCAACATATTCTGGTCAAATAATGCCAAGAAGAAAAATAATCGATACATTGAGAAATAGATCCTGAGGGGAATGGTGGACACCGCAGATTGGCTTGTCATTAGTTCCAGCTCCCTTCTCAAATGCTTTCCTGTACTGCAAAGGCTAGAAACTTCATGCTGCATTTTCCCTCATCTCTTGCAGTGAGGGTGTTAGAAATGAACTTGTTTTGCCAATCAGATGTACTCATATGAAACCTGGGGTCAAAACTGAGTAAGAGAGAGAAAGGCCAGACTTGAGACTTGTTTGGATGATCCAGGACGTGGCAGACGTGGCATGGTTCTGGAGATGCGGAAGCAGTTGCAACTTCTGATTCTATAGCTTGTTGATCGTAGCAGAGGTGGCAGACCCTTTAATGGCCCAAATCTTATATATTGCTTTGATATTTTTTCCCTAGAAATTTAGCCTACAATCAACTTCTTCAGTTCTCCTAACCATTCTGGAAGAATGGTAAAAATTTCCCTTTTAGATTAAACCAGATACTGTTTCTGAAACAATGCACTTCTCAGTAACAGGGATGTGTATAGGTCACAGAACTCTACAGGAAATGGGAATCTGGGACAGGCTATCCTGCCTGGAGAGGATTGCATGAACACAAAACGACAGGAAACTGGTCCATGGTAGACCATGGCAAAACAATTTTCATCTGTGGTCATATGATGTGAATGAGGCTAAATCTTAGTTAGACCTAGTAGCTATTGCAATGAACCATTTGAGTGAGAGTGAAGAATACAAACACTGGGTATAGTGGGTGGCTCACTGCTTCTCATGGTACTAGAGAAGAAAGAAAATAACCTCATAGTTTTACATTCTTAGTACAAGGCACAATCAGAGGTTGAGAAAGCTTCTATGATTTTCCTGAAAGAATCTCTTATCATTGGCTACAAGAGCTGGTACAGCTGAAAATCAGAAACAGAGTTTAATATTGCCGGATGTTAAATTACAGTGTAGAACAATTATATTAAACAAGGGGGAGGGAATTTGGGATCAATATGAGTGTGAGATCTCAGGCATTAAAACTCTTAAAAACTCCACTGTGGCACTTCTGCTTCTGGCTATGATGGAATTCAGCACACCATTTCTCCTGTTAAGAATACTTAGAAAGCCAATTACAAGATTGCTCCAAAATACAAATTCATCTGTTTGAAGATATTGGAGAGTTCCTGAGGGAACCAGAACATGAGAAACAAGATCATAAAGTGAAGGGAAGCATGGATAGGTGAGCTGAATTCTGCTTTTCCCCTCAAGGTATTTGACAATTCTTGTTGTGGGGTTTGAGGGTTGGGGGCAGGGAAACTAGGTGGAGAACTACAGATAAGAAGTAGAGATGCCAGCAGAGCTTTTGGCATCCAGAGACACAAAAAGTAGATTTGGGACTGCCAAAACTAGATTTGAGATGACCAAGATCTTGAAGAGCAGGGAGGCACGGAGATGAAAGCCTTACACTTGGAGATGTTGCTCCTCGAGGTATTTGCACAGAGATAGAGACTAAGAAACCACATTGGAAAGCATTGCAAAGGAGAATAGAATTTTAGGGAGTCTCACAGTGTTGAGGATACAAAAATTAGGTAAATGCCCACCTAAGAGGCACTACAGAGTTTCACCTGGATTCCACTCAATCTCAACCACACTAAATAACAACAACTTTACTGCACTGGGATAATTAGGATCAATCATGCAGTCAACATATGTACATATTCAACAAAGAACATGTATCTAAATATAAAAATAACCCCTGCAAGTTAATAAAGAAAAAATACAATGCAAAAACATATTGGGCTGAAGACTTGGTCAGATTTTTCACAAATAAGACTGTCATAGTGGGGATGCACATGTTTAAAAGATGTGTGACTTTATTAGAAATCATGTTAATGCAAATTTAAATCATAAGAAGATGCTGTACACACTCAACTAAAATGCCTAAAATGAAAAAGCCAAGCAATACTAAATATTAGCAAGAATGAGATGCAACAGGAACTTTCATACATTGCCTATAGAACTGCAAATTGGTACAAAAGACATACTCTGAGACCAAGAAATTCCACTTTTCAGTATATATCTAACAGTAAACTGCACATATATCAACCAAAACACATACACAGATACTCATAGAATCATTATTAGTAGTAATAATTTTGGAAACAATCCAAATATCTTCAAATAATAGATTGGCTAAATAAATTGTGGCATATTTATAAAATAAAATACTGTGCAGTATTGGTTCTCACCTGGGAGTGATTTTGCCCCCAGGGACATTTGGCAATGTCTGGAAGACATTTTTGGTTGTCATAACTGGTAGAGTGCTAATGGCATTTAGTGGGTAGAATCCAGGAATGCTGCTAAACATCCTGCATTCCACAGGGTAGCCCCCATGGCAGAGAATTATCTGGTTCAAAAGTCAATAGGAGTGAGCTTGAGAAACCCTGCGTATTAGTTTTCTACAAAGCTACAAATTACCGGAAACTATTACAAACTACCACAAATTTAGTTGCTTAAAACAACACAAATTTATTATCTTATCGTTTTGTAGGTCATAAGTCCAACATAGGACACATTGGGCTAAAATCGAGATGTCAGCAGTGCTGTATTCCTTTCTGGAGGCTCTAAAGGAGAATCTGTTTACTTGTCTTTTCCAGCTTCTAGAGGACATCCACTTTTCATTATCACATTTCATACTTAATTTTATTTCTTGGCTTCTGGACCACTTACTCCATCTTAAAAGCTAGCAAAACCAGCCAAGTCCTTCTCCTATCACTCTCTCTGACCTATGGTTCTGCCTCTTTCATTGTCAAGGACCCTTGTGATGACCTTGAGCCCACCTGGGCTCCCTATAATCTCCCTATATTAATGTCAGCTGATTAGCAACCTTAATTTCATATGCAAATCAGTTCTCTTTTGCCATGTATTGAACATATTTATAGGTTTTATGGATTAGGATGTTGACATCTTTGGGGGCCATTATTCTGCCTACTTCACCCTGCTAGACAGCAATGAAAAAGATTTACTACTGCTGCACAGAACAGAATGCATGGATCTCACAAACATGATGGTGAATGGTTGAGTATATAATTTATGGTTCTCTTTATATAAAATAGGCCACACTAAGCCTATTTTTAGCTTGATGGAAATTGAATAATAAGTTCCTGATTCAGCAGGTAGCTCTCTGAGCACAGCACAGGTAGTACAGCCAGCAGCTTTAGTAAAAGCTTCCTAGTTATCAGAAAGCTTCCCCAGTCTACAATTTACTAGTCAGGACTGGGATAGCAGCTTCCTTGTTAGCGTATTCGGGGGGTGGCTTTTGGGCTTTTCTAGAAGCCCACCCTAAATTCCATGTATTCAGTCCTCCCCAACGATCTGTAAGTGACTTAATCCTCTAAAATAAATCCCTATTTGCTTAAAGTAGCTTGAGTGGATTAGATTCTCTGTAACTGAAAATTCACCAACATTATGAGGCATTAGCAATAGCCAAATGAAAGCTCTTTGTTAGTCAGCTTGAAGCATGAAGGATTGAAGGATCGCACTAATACTTTATAAATATTATCCCATTTAATCCTGACAATCATTAGGTATTATTATCATCTATCCTAAGTGACGCTGTCAAGAATCAAAGAGGTTAAATTACTTATCTGTAGCTGGTAATGCTGGTATCAAGATGCAGACCTGAAGCTCTGCAGGCCATGTGCTTCTCCTTGTACTTTGCTGCTCAATTTCATTACCCTTTTAGAGTAGAATTGTCCAATATATTGAATTCACATAAGTTCTTCCACTAGAGATTCAAATAGCTCAAAGAAGCATTTAGAGCTTGATTTTTTCCCCCAATTTATGAGCTACAATGGTGTATCAGTCAGAACACTTAGTCGTAAACAATAGAGTCTGTTCTGGGTAGTTTAATCAGAAAAGCGACATATTTAAGAATATCAGATTGTTAATAGATCCACTGGGATATTTCGGAAAAAAAAAGAATAGACTGAAAATTAAGCTTCTAGCAATGATAGTCTGAAACATGACACAGAA